CAACTAGTCAGACTCAATCAGCACAGACACTTCAGAAATTCACAAAGTCCTACACATCCGCCAACACTTTTTATACTGTGTTTGCTTTAAAAATTCTGGCTAGTTTGATTATGCTTTCAGCTAAGAGTGCGCATATTTTACCATGTTCAAATCCAGGCACTGACTTTCTGACTAGTTGACAAGACAAATTGACAAATTGACTAGTAAAAATCTGTCTTGCAAGCAGTGTTATTTATATACTATGGTACCGTTTTTGAGAATATTTGTTTTTAATACTATGGTACCGTTTTTGAGAATATATTTGGGTTTGTTTTTATTTCAAGAATTTTCAGCTTTCTTTTTTTAATTTTATTTTGTTCTTGGCATTTTTATTAGTTTTTTGTATTTCTATTTTATTTCAGTTTTAGAATTTTTAGTCCTTTAGTAACTTTTTTTTAATTTCTGTTTTATTTCCGTTAACAAAAATGTTTTTTAAAAGTTCTGTTACTGCTTGCAACAAAAACTTTTTTTCTGTAAATGTTGAGTAAAAATATGTCTTACAAGCAATGTTTTTTAGTATTATTTATATATTATTATTGTATTTTTCTTAATATATATTTTTTTTTGAATATTTATTATTATTTTGTTTTTATTTGAGATTATCAGTTTACTTTCTAATTTTAATTTAGATTTTAGCATTTTTTATTTTACTTAACAGTTGTAACACTTCTTGCAAGTCTCGAATTTTGCATTGCATTAACAACAGAAGCAATGAGAAATTTCTTTCCTCTCGATTTGAGACACTGACCAGTTGAAAAACAGTGTTTTTGCACAGAGCCAGTTGTGAATGAAGATTCAGGTGTATGTTAAGCATGATATTTGTGTTTCCAGGTGCTGCTGTCTGAATACAAACGCTCGGGAAAGGTGTACGCCATCAAAGCACTGAAGAAAGGGGACATTGTGGCACGAGACGAGGTGGAAAGGTGAGGAACTTAATTCAAGTTTAATGTGAGAGAAAAATAACTTAACATCTGTTTGTGCTCTTTTTGCTAGATTGATATTTCTGTTTCCCAGTAAAAATATATTGCAAATATCTTTCTTACTTTATGCATAAATATAATAATACCTAGTGAAATTCACTACACAAAGTATTTTTTTCTTACTATTTAAAATTCAAAAGTACACGACAGTTCATCCATTTAGTCTTCAGTCTTTAGACTCTTGTATCCTCTCTTCCAGTTTGATGTGCGAGAAGCGAATCTTTGAGACGGTGAACAGCACACAGCACCCGTTCCTGGTCAATCTGTTTGCATGTTTTCAGACGCCAGAACACGTGTGTTTTGTCATGGAGTACACGGCTGGCGGAGACCTGATGATGCACATCCACGCTGACGTCTTCTCTGAAACACGCTCTGTGTAAGTGTGTTTAACTTAACCAGCTAATATGCAACACTAGTAGTTGTTACGTCACAGGTGAATAAAAATGTATAATATCAGGCAAATGATAAAAACCTTCAGAATATATATAAGAATAAAACTGTAACATTTGGTGTATGCATGTGCTGCTGAAGTGGAGAAGCAAACTCATTTTGAGAAACAAACAACTTTAAAGATACATAGGTAATTGAAATCTACAGATGCAAATAGATAAAGTGCAATACAATAAACACTTAAATGTATTTTCTGAATGTTTTCTTTCCACTAGTCTTAAACAAAATATTATGAAACACCAAAAAGCCCAAAATCTCAAAATTGACCAGTGCATGAAGAAAAACAATGTTGTTGCCTGTAGTGTCTTGCTTTAATAATCATTGTGCAATTTGAACGTGTTGTTCCTGGATTTATGTGTGCTTTTCATGAGTGCTTTACTGTATTCTTCATATGTGTGTGTGTGTGTGTGTGTGTGTGTGTGTCAGAGATCTGAAGCTGGATAACCTGCTGCTGGATACTGAAGGTTATGTGAAGATTGCAGACTTCGGTCTCTGTAAAGAGGGTAAGTCACAGACTGTACCTGCTGTAATGATATTGATGGAGTTAATGGAGGAAGAGCATGATATTTGTTCACTGCTGGATCGGAGTGATCTGGGAATGACAGGCTGTGCTGCTGACTGCCTATTATTTTTTAATAACTCTACCGTTTTGGGTCGGTATGTTTCTGAAAGAAGTCTCTTTTGCTCACCAAGGCTGCATTTCTTTAACCAAGTAAAAACAATTTAATTGTTAAAATATTTTACAATAACTCTTTTCTATTTGAATATATTGTAAAATGCTAGTTTTTCCTGTGATCAAAGCTGAAGTTTCAGCATCATTACTCCAGTAATTGCTTTCAGATATGAAACCGGTTCTTTCACATTTTTATCAAATTTTTTGTAAGCCAAAAAAAGCTAAAAATCACAGCTGGTTTATTTAAATAATAAATACTGCAAAAAGAGATGCCCATAATAAAGCTATAAGCCCCAAGAAGCCATGGTTTACAGTTAATTTATAACAGCTAAGGGGCGTTGTTAGGTGCGACGTGAAGCTAACCCCCTTAGCTGTTATAAATTCACTGTAAACCACGGCTTCACAGGGCTTATTGCTTTTATAAAATTGTTATTCCATATGCGTAGTAAGGTTTCACAAAATAAAACAAATAAAGTGTAATGATATTAATAAAAACAGTATTCTTCCAAACGGTTGTGGTTGCAACAAAGTGGCTGCCGAGAAACACAGAAGTAAACAAACGTGTGTGTTTGTAGAGTAATTTACAACAGCTTCGAACGTGGCTCAACTAATCAGAATCAAGGACC